ATTTTGCAAGCATATGCGTGTGTGTGTATGTGTGTGTGTGTGTGTGTGTGTGTGTGTGTGTGTGTGTGAGAGAGAGAGACAGAGAGAAGGAGAAAAACACTGAGCTAAAAAGTCTATACAACCGCTTGAGGGTATTTTAAAGAGACCCTTGCCTTCTCCTCATGATACTCTCTGGTCTTTAAGACTGTTGGCTCGGTGTTCAATCACCACAACAACCTCACCTTAACAACAATGACTCCAGTAACCTTGGCCATCCATTAGCCTGTCTAAGAACAAAAGCTGTTTCCATAGGGAGCCATTAGACGAATATAGCTCTGGGAAGGGAAGTATCCAATACACCAGATGGGCTGCGCTTTATACCAGCTCCAGGGCTGGACAGCAGTCTCACAGACCGTTACTGGGAGGGAGAAATTAGGCTAAATCGGTGCAACACATGGAAAATGTTCAGGTTCGATGCTGGAGTCCGTCCAAGAATGTAAAACTGCAGGTGGACACTGATTATTGCCCAAAGCATTACAGATATCTGCACACTCCAATATGTTCCACATATTTTCAATCAAACTAGTTATCAAATTCATTTGAAAAGTGAACCCTCAAGAAGACAGATTCCTTTTATTATTTGTTAATAGGAAATTTCTACCTTAATGTTGGAGATGAGCCCCAGTTTGAGCCTCATCCCCCTCGAATAAAAACACATAAGTAGCAGATGACTTGTTTTTTTTTTTTTGCCGAAATGAAAGACATACACACCATAAATTACTGCAAAAAAATGCACAAATTGGAGCATAAAAATCACCAGAATGCAGGAAATTAAGTGTCCAAATCCCGCCATTTCATATGCATTCCCCCAATGTTGAAACAAATACTATGCCTTTAGCCCCTAATGCAGTGGTTTTCAAACTTTTTTGCCCAAGGCAAAGGGCAAGCCAAAATCTCAAGGCACTCCTGTATTTAATATCTGTACACATAGCTTCTTTATCGTATGTTATCATTCTTATCATGATTTAAGTCAATAAAGATAAGAAAAAATAAGACAGGTAGCTTTCGTGATACTGTTTTACAGGGTTTTTTTTTTTTTTCACTTTTCTTTCAGTGGGAGGTCATTTTTTGCTGGTGCTTTGTTGTAATTTGCTCTGCACAATAAAGCACTCCATTGTCCCACTCACGGCTTTCTCCTTTTAAATTTTATCATCCCTCACACTGGCTGCCAATCAGGGCTTTTGATGTGTCACACATTTAGAATTACTACGTGCCAATGGCGACAAATACTGTACGTTTCCCTAAAAGTTTTTTTCATAAAATAAAATGAAATGAAGTGAAATAAAATAAAATAAAATGAAATAGAACAAAATGAAATAAAATTAAATTGAATTAAATCACATTTTATTATCTAGAGTTGCCTCTGTATTGGGAAATGGGTGCTCACAACATACTGATACAATCAGTTAAAAAACTAATTCATAACTTGTTGTATAGGCCCAGTTGAATATCACAATAGTAATGTATGGTTATCATAAAATTCTACGGCATACCTGGACTGGCATCACGGCACACCAGTGTGTCGCGGCACACCATTTGAGAGCCACTGCTCTAATGTATTACCATCTAATGTATAAAACTTAAACACCTAGCAGTCTTTGTCATTTCACCACACCTACCACTGTTCTGAAGGTATTTCAAGAATTTCTAGAAGTCTTTTTTTAACCATCTGGACTGTTTCTTCATCCAGGTAGCCACAACTACCATATGTCCTGGCTCTTTTTGTAAAATGTAACTTCAAACAAAAATATAAAATATTGGAATGAAACATCTATAAGCCAATGAAGCAAGAAAACTATCAATACATTTTATAATTTTGGTTCCCTCTGTACAAAGTGAGCAAAAAGGGTGTGCAATTTCTGGCTTCCATCTTTGTTTGGATTGGGAAAAAAGGCACAACTTGAGACACACATTATGATCATATTTGTCACACAGCTGATGGAGCATTTTTGCCACCAGAAGGTTAGAAAAGTCTTTGAAGATATAAGAAAAATCAGAGTGTCTTCTTTTCAGAAAATCTGATTCTTACCTGTATTACTTTAAAATAATGTAAATAAATGAGAAGATATGATACACTGAAGCTAGTTTACCACATCAGCCTGTAATGAATCCTCCCAAACTCTGCTTTGATGCCAGCACTGTCATAATGCACCCACCTGTAAATTGTGCAGCACGAATAAGCTCCCAAAGCGCAGGGAACAAGTCACTTTCTCAACACTGTGCTTCAATTTTAAAATTGAGCTGTCTTCCACATGAGTATTTTCCACCACGGATGCCAGAATATGCCAATTCTAAATCATTAAATCAGATGTGTTCACAAGAGCCAAGATATATTTATCAGGATCTTTGCTTTTCAGTAAAGGACACTGACCACTAAAGATGTAAATGACAGGAATGAGAGGGACTAAAACAATGCACCTTATTTGCCATTGTTGTGCTTCTGTCCTTTCCTGAGATAATTTCAGACAAAAAAGATGTCAGACAGCTCTCAGCTCGAGCCCCGAGTTCTGAATTTACATTTATTATGTATAAGGTAAGGCGGGCTGAGCTCGGTAGCCAGCCAGTCCTGACTATCACTTAGAGCTGAGGATGTGTCACCTGTCTCTTCCCGTCCCATATGGTTTCCCCTGACTAACGTTACCGCTGTACCTCCTGGCTAGAGAGCAGATAACAGCACAGTGTGTGTGTGTGTGTGTGTGTGTGTTTGTTATACTGTCAAGTGGTTCTGTAAAGCATAAAGAAGTGTCTACTGTACCTGAGCTCGCATGTGTTTGTGTGTCTATCCATGTGTGAATGCATGACTTTGTGTGAGTATGTGTGTATTACTTACATTTGTATCAGTCTGTAAATCCCTATGAGCAGGTATGTGTGTGTTTTCTTGTGTCTGAGCGTGTGTCGTATTTCAGCCAGTGAACATGATGTTTGTGTTCGTCCCACTACATCCACATGTGCCAGTGCCACTGTGTGTGTATGTGTGTGTGTTTCTCTGTCTGTCTCACAAAGCTGAACCAGGGGACCGTTCAGTGTGCATGTGTGTGTGCGTGTGTGTGTGCTTCTGTCTCAGAGGGGGGAACCGGTGGACGGCTGCGGTGAGGGAGCTGAGGTGTAACACCTTGTTAATGTGACAGACACAGTAAAACAGTCACCGAGGGAATGAGCCGTCGTTGTCTACTTTGCTCGATAACTTGACAAATACAAAAAGAAGCAGCAATTCGGTTTGTTAAGCCGCTCTCGAGTTCAGTTCCCAACACACCTTACTTAGATAAGTGCTTGGCACAAGTGGAAATGTGCTATTATCTTTGCTGTAAATACCACAAGCAGTAGGTAATATGAAGGCCATCTGTCTCCATCCAATAGTAGTTTGGAGAGTGTGGGGTCAGAGGGTTTTCTTAGTTGAATAAGTTAGTTTAGCTGGCCTGACTTATTGATCCTTTATCTGACCAAGGTTTGTGCAAGTTTGAATCTATGGCTCTGACCATGGCTCTGAAATATCAGCAGTCTAACTGTGCTGTGTGGGGATAAATCCTTGGCGCTGTCCATGGTGCTGAAGCAGCAGACGGATTTGTAATTTGAGTTCTGCCCTTCTGTCTGTTCAGTCTCGCCTCTATAACATTCTCTAAACTATATAGTTAAGTTCGGTTACAAACTTAGAAGTGGGGAGTGCAGTCACTATTTTGATTTGGGTCTAGAAATGTTTTGTCATGATACAGATTCTAGACAACCCATTTCTAAGCCTAAGGACCTGCGTCCATATAGCCTTTCTGTCTAACAGAAAAGTGCTGGAGAACTACTTTGATGTAGCGCTGACCATGGGTTTTGTTGCTATGACAACACTATCTTGACATTAACGTTAGCTAGGTGGCTAAGGTAATGCTACGTCAACAGAGGGTTAACTACACAGACAACAACAAGCTTACAAAGCGTGTGGTACCAGCAATATTTGGTGTCCAGCCGATCTGAACCCACAAATGTGCTTTTCTGTCTTTGCTGTAGTTTATGACTGACATAAAGCTCGGGATAGATAGTAAAGGTGCAGCAGTGACAACACCAGCGCCTTTCCAAAAAGGTCAGAGATTTTTTACTGCAAGCACTCTGAGCAGCTAAACAAAAAAGTTGGAGCGCTCTGACAAAGACGCTGGTCGTAGAACCTTTTCTCGAAGAGGCTGCATACACTTTGTCCTCATTGGGAACAACTGAAAAAAGACATTGCGTGGACTCTCAGCCAACAACGATCTGTTCACATATTCACATGACAGGCTTTAGAAAACAAGATTAGTAGTCTAAAGCCAATAATTCAATAATTGAGACAATTGACTCCACAAAACAACATATGTCAAACTAATGGTGGCTCTAGAGGAAAAGTCAGAGGACCACCTACATCACTAATATGGCAAACTGGATAAGTGATGACTCTGACCTCCTGGTGGTGCTACAGGAAAAGTCAGGGATCTCCAAATTTACTTGCAATCATTCTGTGTGCACCGTAGATATCTGCACCAAATTTCATGGCAATCCGTCAAATAGTTGTTGAGTTCAGTGTGGACCAAAGTGGTGGACTCACAAGCAGGACACACTGCTAGCATGGCTACAATCATGTTTGTCCCTGTCTAGCAAAATGCTTTGTTTGACCACTTGAGCAGAGTTGACTAGGGGAAAAGGCTCTGAGTGCAACAATCCTAATGAGCACTGATAATGAGGTATTAATGCAAACTTGGTTTAATGTTTAATTATTTCAGAGCTTGCTCATTTGTTGCCTCGCTCTTTGGCTTAATGAACTTGTACTGTTGTTTGGTTTAATTCAAAGTAATTGATCACAGAAACCTACTTTGTTTTCATCAGCTTCATAGTCCTGGGGGTAAAGTTTCCCACATATTCCAACAGCAAGTACTGTCATATGGTGAGTGACTTGCTAGTTTTACCTGGTAAACAGAGGACATAGATATTAAAGAGGCTGAACGTACCTGGTAGACATGGTAGGCATTGGCAGCTCTGCCCTGCAGGAACACAGAGGGGATCCACACATTGATGAGAGCGCGATGAGCCCTGAGTGACACAAACAACAAACCATCCTCACTGTCATCGCCATTATCATCATCATCATTATCATTATCACAGCAACATCAACAGTGCGTCAGCGCAATGCTTGGACAACTACAGCAAATTACAGCTCACTCTGGTAAAACTCCTCCAAATCTAATTTGGTCTTGATCTGAGAGTGGAGGCAATCAATGAATGTATGAAATCAAACAGTGTTCAAGCTTTGTTCACAGGTAAACTTGAGATCTTATAGATACAATTACACTGGGAGAACAGATATTTTATTTGAGTAGCTCTTGCAAGGTACAAACCCAGAGAAACTCCAGAGGTAAGAGTTGATTAATATAAAAAGAGGGAAGGTCGGAAGAGAAGTGAGAGAAAGAGGGTGAGGGGAAGAGAGTAACAGAGGTTTAATAAAAGAGAAATATTCTTACGTCTCAAAATCTGACAGGCTGGGGTCATCCGACGTCTGGCTTAAATCACCTGGAACCTGGAGTAGATTAGAGAGTGGGAGATTGATAACAAGCAAGACAAAAACAAATGAAAGAAATTTATTACAATGCAATACAAACTAATGTACAAATATAGCATTTATACAGACACATACACATGGTGTCCAACATGCAAGTTATTCCAAACCAAAGGGTACTGTGACAGTTTCCAGAGACTACGTAAAAAGACTTGAGTAAATGTATTGTCACAATAAACCAGTAAAGAACACGCAGTCATAGGTCAACCACGCAGTACAAGTCTCCTTCTGAGGTGAGTCAGTAACACATGAACACAGTGACTGAAAACACACGAAACCCAGCAAACAAACAGAGAAGTTGTAATAGTTAGCTAAAAATAATGTTAACAAAATAATGATTGAAAATAGAGTAGATAGCTAAAATAAACAGTCATGAATAAACAGTTGAAATAGTTAGCTAAAAGTTATGAATAATTAGTTAAAATAGTTTGCTAAATCAATAATAATAATAATACAATAACAATACAATATCATTGAAAGCTCTTCGCTAAAAGTAATGAACTGATTACATAGCAAAAAGTAATAAACAATGGAAATAGTTAGCTACAAGTAATGAAAGAACAGTTGGAATAGTTAGCTTAAGGTGAAAAACATCTTGAAATAGAAAAAAATGTGGAATAAACAGTTGAAATAGTTAAATAAAAGTAATAAATAAACAATTAAAACAATTAGTTTAAAGTAATAATTGACAATTAAAATAGTTAGCGAAACGTTATAAATATATCATTAAAACAGTTAGCTAAAAGTTATAAATAAACAATTAAAATAGTTAGCTAAAAGTAATAATTAACAATTAAAACAGCTAGCTAAAAGTAATAAATAAACAATTAAAATAGTTAATGAAAAGTAGAAAATAAACAATCAAAATAGTTAACTAAAAGTTATAAATAAACAAACAAAACAGTTAGCTAAAAGTAATAATTAACAATTAAAATAGTTAGCTAAAAGTAATAAATAAACAATTAAAATAGTCAAGTAAAAGTAATAAATAACAATTAAAATAGTTAGCTATCAATTATAAATAAACAATTAAAAAAGTTAGCTGAAAGTAATAAATAAACAACTAAAATAGTTAGCTAAAAGATCTAAATAAACAATTAAAATAGTTAACTAAAAGTAATAAACAATTAAAATAGTTAGCTAAAAGTTATAAACAAACAATTAAAAAAGTTAGCTGAAAGTAATAAATAAAGAACTAAAATAGTTAGCTAAAAGATCTAAATAAACAATTAAAATAGTTAACTAAAAGTAATAAATAAACAACAAAATAGTTAGCTAAAAGTAATAAATAAACAGTTAAAATAGTTAACTAAAAGTAATAAATAAACAATTAAAATAGTTAGCTAAAAGTTATAAATAAACAATTAAAATAGCTGAAAGAAATGAATACAGTTAAAACAGCTAAAAATGATAGATAATCAGTTGAAATAGTTAAATAACACAATAACAATACAATATCATGTAAGCTCTTTGCTAAAACTGAAGAACAAACAGTTGACACAGTTAGCAAAAAGTAATAAACAATGGAAATAGCTACAAGTAATCAACAGACATCTAAAAGAGTTAGCTAAAGTGAAAAAAAACCATTTGAAATAGTTAGCTTAAAGTAATGAATTAACAACTGAAACAGCGAAACATAATGTACAGTTGATATAGTTCACTAAAAGTAATAAATAAACAAGTAAAATAGCGAAAAGTAATAATCAATTGAAACAATTAGCGAAATCAATAATAATAAAATAACAATACAATGCCATTATCGGTTCTTTGCTAAAAGTAATGAACAGCTGAAATAGCTGGCTAAAAGTTATGAATAATCAGTTAAAATAGTTAATTAAAAGTAATGGTTACTGATTAAATAGGTTAGCTAATAGTAATTCATAAACTGTGACTGAATACACTAGAAAAACAATTGAATAGGTGCAGTAGCTAACGTAATTGAAAATCATAAATACCTAATAGTTAAAATGCTAAAAAGTTAGCTAAATGTACGGTGGAAAAAAGGTTTAAACAGTTAGCTTAAAGTAATGAATGGTTGAAATTGTTACTGTATCTGAAAGTAATCTATTACCAATTTAAATAGTAAACTTTACGGTTAGAATAGCTAAAGCTCATAGCTTAATACCTAGGGAAAAGATTAAAACATCCAGTTCCTGTAACTCCATGTGGTTGAAGTACAAACTAAACCATACCAACCTAAACATTCACAGTTCACTTGCATGAAAAAACCACCACTATTTGAAACGGACAAATTTGGAACATGACTGGTGGTGTTGATCAAGGGCTACTTGAGTTCATCTGACAGGGCTCTGAGAACCGCCGCAATACACAGTACCCTGTTTACTCATCTGAAGCACACAGCTGGAATGCCTCTTCATGCACGTATGTGTTTTGTGTCCAACGCTATTTTTGCTGATGACTATCCTCAGTTAGCAGTGGTTACCTAATATGACACCCTTTATGCAAATGTTTGTGTGTGAGAGTTCATCAACCCTGTGATTTGTTTCACTCTGCATGCTTCCAGGTCCCTTGAGGAACCACATGACCAGGCCCAGATGTTGGCCTTCTGGATGAGAGTGTGTCTGTGTGTGAAAAAGAGAGCGTGTGTGTGTGTCCGTCTCTACTCCATCTCTCGTCCAGAGCTGGCCTGTCAGCTTCTCAGCTCTCCCAGAGAGACTATTTAAACCTGGGCTGAAACACTGTCACCGCAGCCCTCTTCAGTGGGGTCTCCAGCCCGCAAGCTTTGATCAAACTCTCCAAGAGTGGCACACACAGAGACGCACAGACACACACACACACACACACACACACAC